CTTCTACAAAACAATTTGATTTTATAGGAGAATATGTTTTATAAGTTAGTTGTAAAAAAGTTTCTGTGATAATTTCGTGACTATTTTATAACGTATTTATAATTTTATTTTATAAACGTTTCTATGACAAATTTATAAAACACTTTTATTGCATACAACTGTGTTATATTCACGGCTCGTCTAATATAATCAATTAGCATTTTGGAAGTAATTATAAAATACCAACAAAATAAAACTGTTGTAGCACCATGAAATTATAAAACAATTTTGCTGGTTGGGATATACCTATTTACAAAGGTAAGAATTGGAAATTGATAAACTATTGAATTCAGTAGTAAGTAAACAATTTTTCTTACTCTAGTTTGTACGACTGGAAAAAGATCAAATTAAAGATATGGGGGCAAATTATCCTTAGTATCCTTCCTGTCACGAAGACAAAAAAATTAAGCTCATTTATTGTAGTGGAACATTTAAACTTCAACAAAAAATATGAAGATGGTGGGCTATCATGGTTTTTTGTTCAAATATCACTGATAGTAAGGCATATCAATAACGGCTTGGTAACCATAAATGAATTGCAAAATTTTTGAAATTATCATTGTTTCCGCAGAATTTCTGCTACATTCTTATTGGACTCTGTGGTAGATATAACCATGCTTAAAAGGCATGGGGGTTGTGATTCATAAATAATCAATAACCGAAGATTACATTGTAGACTGTATAGCTGCAAAAACAAATGTTAGTGAAAGACTTTTCTCAGATATCAAAAACCAAAATACCGTCGGTTTTAGCAGTAGGTACTTCATAAATAAATAAAAATAAGTACACTATGATTACAAAAGGTAAAACGGATTATCAAGCCAGTGGAGTTAAATCACTGTTATTAATTTATGAGTCCATGTTAAGTGATACGGCTGAGGCCTTTTTGATTGCATTCCCCTGGGAGTAGGTATAAATATTATCTGAAATATTCACTTTCAAGTGTGTGATCAACGTATGTGTTTTTCTTTTAATTTCATTAAGCATGTGAAAATCCCTTTCCTTTTTATCCCTCACTATGATGCTTTCTGCAGCAAAAGCTAAATCAAATGAAGCCTGTTCAGAATATTAGATAAAAATTTACATTAGAATTTGTGTTTCGGGAAAACTTGAAGAAAATCCATAAAGAGAATCAGGAATCAAATGAAGGAAAATATCCTGTTCTGTGGAAAATATTGATGGTAAATCATTTCAGAGCTTAAATTCCTTTACTTGTTAAAGTGAGGCTTTAGTTTTTTCATGATGAAAATTGGCTTATGGAATATGACTTTATGGAGTTTGAAACTTTATAGTTAATTTTTTGGGAAAGAAAGTTTTTGTCTTTCTACTACTCCATCTGATACAAAAAAAAATAACCCCTTCAATTCAAAT